TTTGGGGTTTTTCAGGGTTTTTTTGTGGGGGGAGGGGGTGGCGTTTGTTTTGGTTGGGGTTTTGGTTGGTTGGTTGGTTGGTTTTGGTGGGGTTTTGTTGTTGTTGTTGTTTTGTGGGGTTTTTTGGTGGGGTTTTTTGGTGGGTTTTTTTAATCTAGACACTGAGCTGAGAAAGACTGACAAATCTGGACATAAATCCAGGTAATGTCAGTCAGAAACTTTCATCAACATATTGTCTTAACACAAGGGGCTTCAAGATTCCTGTATGCAGCTGTCTTTCCTAATCAGGTCTCAATACACAGACTGCAGTGAAGCGAAGAGATTTTGTTTGTATCTCCACGCAACACTTGTAACAGGCAACTTATTTCCTGCAATAAAAGCCAGAGGAACATCAAGAAGGTATTTCTTGTATGAAAGAAAAGGGAAGGACTACAAAATCAGAGGGGTGCCTGGAGCAAGTTTTGGCAGGCTCTTGAGATGATAATCATCAAGCCTGGCCTTCCACAATAGGATGCAGCAAAAGGGAAGCTAATGATTAAGCGATGTGGTTCAATCATTCTCCAAGGGATGTGGTAAAAGCTACAGAAAGCTTAAGTTTACTTGTGATTTCATTACCTTGCCAACACTGGGTTTAAAAATCAAACTGCAACATTTTTGTAGCTTACTAAAAATATTCATCAGTCCTTTATCAACATACAGAATATGATAAGACCCAGAGAAGAAAAGAGACATATCAAAGGCAACTAAATCCACTCTTCTTACAGGCAAATCAGAGTGCTATACATAAAGCAGTAACCCAACAGAAATGGAAAGGCAGTGGCAATTCTTACACATAGCTTACAGCTCATCCATTTCCAACAGGAAATCCACATATATCTCCATACCGCCACAGGGCTGAATCAATCTGTCTATCTTCATCTGAATATTAGGAAGGAACACCACCAGGTTGGACTCAAAAACAAACTCTCCCTTCTATGGCAAGAGGTCGACCAAGATTAACATCCCATTTCTTTCTAAGAGGTTTCATGCTGTACACTAATTCTGTCTCACCAAGCCCAACAAAAGCCAACTAATTAGATCATCACACTCCTACAAAAGGAACTGCCTTGTTTGCTTCAGGCCAAGAGCAATCCAGCTGTGATTAAGATTCTGACAATTGCTGCTCTGGAACAAAACCACAGTGTCTTTACACTGGACAAAGAGTGCCTTGACCCTGCCATGGACCAGCAGGAATTTTATCTACAACACTGTTGTAAATAGCATTTCAATCTGATGTTTGCTACTGTCCATTCCCACATTTCTTTTGCCAAAGACAGGCATGAGTCAAGCACCAGTTCCATAAATCTGCCAGTTTTCAGGAGAGCGGTGACAGGTGCACAGCTCCCAGCTCATCAGCACAGGGTGCGACAACTGCCTTGTCCCACAGTACCTACGTAACCACTGCCATGACGTGGGATTTCCTACCTGTCCCAAACACAAGATGCTGTCAACTGCTGAGCATAGCCTATGCGACTTACAGCATCTGCAGGTTGAGCATCAAAGAACCCTTCTCCTCTGTGATTACTTAGCTCCACCAATGAAAGATCACTAGAATTTTTAAAGGCACACAGAGGACAATTTCCACAAAGCATTGAAACAGCATAAAATAAACACTGAGCAAAGTATGAGCTATGGCACAGGCTACATTAATAATTTACATTCATCCTTGTAAAACTCAAAACCACTTTATTAATTACTGGAAGCTGTTGGGAAACATTTAGCAATGCCACAGAAAATGGGGATCCAGCTACTGAAATTAAATCAGGGTCTTGCTGCATGGAAAAAAAGACATAATATTTGAAGACCTTCACTGAACCACTTAAATAAGGAGTCACTCATTTGGCAAAGCTCCTAATTTCCAAAAATCTTAGAAGTGTTGTGATACTAAGTGAATTTTTATGATGACCCATTAGTCATTTCTGCTGCCTTCATTCTCCCAAGGGAATCCCCAAATCTGTTATTATCATCAAGATAACATATACAAGTCAGGGGCAAAACCATGGAGGATGGGTAAAAGAGGCATTAAGGTGGGTAGGGAAGAAGACAGCAGTCCAACGGTATCCATGACAGCATCTGCAATAAAGCTCTTGGACCCAAAACTGGCAGCCAGAGTAAGTTAAGAAACAAGTAAAAAAAAAAAAGAATTTCTGAACGGAGGAAAAGAAAAAGGACTGGGTATAAAAAAGAAAATACATTCATCTCAAAGCAGTGGCATAGTCTGAACCCCTCCTTTTCTCTGCATTTCCCCAAATAAGACCTGAAAATTCCTCCAATTAACAGAGGAAAAGGGGAGCTACCACCAATACAGAGAGTATCCTACCTCTGGAAAATCTCCTGCAGGGTTTCCCTGGTGAAGGCGTTGCTGTCCTGGAAGACATTGTTGAGGGCATGGAGGGCGCACAGCTCCCTGCGCTGCTTCTCATGGTAAATGTGCAGTGGCGGTGGCTGGGGTGGCTCTGGTGATTCTGATTTGGTCTTGTCACCTTTCCATGGCACGCAACTCATTTTCTCGATGGGTGGATGTGGAGTAGTTGGTGAGAAATGAAGGAGGCTGAAGTTTCTGCCTCCACAGTCAAAACAGTAGCCCACTGCCCCTTTCTTTGGTGAGCTAGTGCTGCTTCCAGCTCACAAACCCTCCTCTTGTGCTTCAGTTTATTCAGTAATTCCCTCTGACAGCTGGTTTTAGAAACCACATGAAGATCTGCAACATATTTTTCCTCCCTCCTCCCATACCCCATAAAATGTAGTACTTCGCCTCCCCTTCACAGAAAACAACAAAAAAAAAAAAAGAAAAAAAAAAGGAAAAAAAACCAAAACCGATTCCCCTTAGTGTCTAGGTACCAGCTGAAATTTATCACATCGTTCCTTTTCTTCCATCTCCTTTGGTCTACAGTGACAGTAAAAGGCTACTCAGCGCAGGTAAGGAGAGGCCCACCCCAAAGTGCCAAAGTGGAGAAGAAAGCCAGCGCCGGGTGCTGCCTATGGGGGCACAGCGTGGTTAAGCACTTATCAGCTGCATTCCTCCATTCCTTCGGGAACGACGGAATCCAGGCAGGAAGATGCCAACAGCTCGGGAAAGGAAACCGCTTCTTGCTAGGCGGAGAAGCTCAAGTCCAGGCTGCGGGGAAGGCGATTCCTCACAGGTCACCCTGCGCTCCGACAAAGGGAAGTCTCCGTTAGCAACGGGAGGAGGCGGCACAAAGCCCGTGGGAGGGAGGGGAGCACAGGCGGACCAGCCCCACGGCCTGCCCCGCACCTTCCCATCTCGGCCCTCCCCACCCTGCGCCCTCACAACCACTACCACAACAACAAGGGCAGCGGTCGCCTCCCACTGCCGAGGCCCAGCGACCCCCGCAGCCCACCGCGCTGAGGAGAGGCCCCCGCCTGAGCCCTCCCCAGTCCCTCGGGGCTCGCGGCCGGGCCGAGGCACCCGCCCTTCCCCTCGGGGGGGCCCCTCCGGGCCGGGCCGTGGCTGGGCCGGGCCGGTCCCGCCGCCTCCTCCTCCTCCTCCTCCTCACCGCCCGCTCGGCCCCTCGGGCCGCCCCGCGCCGGCGCACGCGCGCGCCGCACCGCGCTCGCGCCGCTCTCGAGAACGCACACGCGCGCGGAACACCCACCCGCCTACCGCACGCGCCGACCGCCGCGCGCAGACGCGGCTCCGCCCCCTCTGACGTCACTCCCGAAAGAGCCGGGACACGGCCGAGCGCGGTTCCACCGCCCGGCGAACAAACAAACGCGAGTCCGCCCCCGGCCCCGCTCTGTGCCGCCGGCTGGAGCTGGCGGCGGGGGAGGAGCAGGACGGGCGGCTTCCCCCGCCGCTCTGTAGGGCTCACCTGCCGGCCCACAGAGCGCCTCAGCCAGGGAGGTTTTCTCCTGGGCGTTGGCGTCCTGCCTGCCGGCGGGCACTGCGAGCGATCTGAACACCGTGGGCTCGCATGGCATGGAGGCCTTCTGTCAGGAGCCCAGGGCGGAAGGGGCAGAGGGGCTCTTTTCCCACGCCGAGGGCTGTGGCGGAACGCCGGCCGGGACAGCTGGTTCCGCGGGCAAGAAAGACAACCGGCGCGCCCTCCCCGTGCCATTGTCTCACACAACTGTCAGTGAAAAATCTTCTCTTTCTCATTGGCTAGTCCGAGAGAAAGCCCACCCACTGGGGTGGGTCCTGTGGCAGCATCTTCCTCCCGCCCGTCGCGGGATTGGCTGTGGGGGCTGTTTGTCCCGAGGCCCAGCCCTGCCGCTGGACAGCGGCCCGGCACGTCGCGCGGGCTGCGCTGTGTATGTGTGTGTGTGTGTATGTGTGTGTCTGTGTGTCTCTGTATGCGTGTGTGTATATGTGTGTGTCTGTGTATGTGTGTGTGTCTGTGTCTCTGTATGTATGTATGTATGTATGTATGTGTATGTGTGTGTGTGTGTGTGTGTGCGTGCGTGTAGCAAACAAGCCGAGCTGGCACCGCTGCTCCCATTGGCTTCGCGCGCTCCGAGGGGGCGTGGCCTCGCCTCACGACTAGCCAGGGCCCCGCCCGCCGCAGCCATGGCAACATGCAAATCGCACCGCTCGGCCTCCGGTGATTGGTGGGCACCGCCTTGGCGGGCTGGGGGCGGGGCCGGGGCGGGGGAGAGGAGGACCGGGCAGGGAAGATGGCGGCGGCGGAGCGGAGCCGATCCCCGGTTCCCGGGGGCTCCCCGGTGCCGGCCTGTATGTTCGCCCCGGAGCCCGGCTCCCCGGGCGGACGGCCTCGCGTGGCAGCGGCTGCCTGCCCCCTCCGCGCCGCCTTCGACGGCGAGGACGGCGAGGCGCTCAACGGCGAGCCCGAGATCGACCTCACCAGCAAGGTAGGCCCGGCGGGGGGGCGGGCGGCGGCGAGCGCCATCACCCCGCCGGGCCCCCGCTGCCCTCCTCCCCGGCCGCCGCCGAGGCCCGGAGGACTGCCCCCCCAGCCTGTCCGCTGGCCGCACGTCAGGAGAGCGAGGGACTGGGGCCCGCCTGGCTCCGCCGGAGCGGGAGGCTCCCCCGAGGGTTCCCCCTGCCCCGGCATCACCCGGGCGAGCGGCAGAGCCCGCGGTGCCTGTGGAGGCGGCCGGGAGAAGCGCAGTAAAGTTGTGCGTGCCCCGGCCGGGACAGGAGGCTACTGGCAGGCTGCTCCTCCCGGCGCCTTCCCCCCCGCGGCAACCCGGGGGCATCGCCGGCCTGCGGCTGGTGCAGCATCTTCAGCGAGCGCGGGTTGTGGAGCTGACAGCTGCTGCAACGACCCGCTGACGTTTTCCTCCGCGCTGGTGCGCTGTAGTTATCTCTGCTGCCAGTTGCACTAGTTCCTGGGGCTTTCTGCGCAATCTTAAAAAAAGGTCAGAGCTCCTAACTTTTGAGCGCAAGTGCTCGGTGACAGGAGTGCCTAGCTCTTGCGTACAGGGTTAAGTTCAACACAAAAAGCTTGGTTCACCTTGTGCAGTTCCTTTCTAGGGTCCCAGTGACAGAACTGTATGATGGTCTTATTTCTGTCAGAACCAGTTTTCACTTTCATCTTGCAGGAAGGTACATGGTAGTAATACGCGCGTGCCTGAGCCTGCCACAGACTACATTAGCTGCCTTTAGACACTGTCTTCTGTTTTTTTCCCAGTTGGACGATCTCTTTAACTATATACCTTTTGCTGCTATGGTTTGATGTACTGTGGTACTGTCTCCCACATTAAAGTCTCTTGAAAGCTTGTTTTTGTCCACTTGTAATTATGTGACCCAGAAGTCAGCATAGCTGGTGTTTCCTCCTAGTTTTCTGCCATGCCTCCTCTTCATGCTTTCAACTGAAGTTGTTCCAAAGTCCTGGACTTTCTCACTCTCTGTGCCCAGGAAACTGGAGAGAGAGGAATTGTGGTGTGTGTGGACATATTTTATAATGTAGGACTGTTTTAAAGCAAATGTTATGAAGATGTCTTATAAGATAGTAAAGAACAGAAGTCAAGCCTGCAGTATCTATTAAGCCACCTGTTCACGCCTTAATGAGCTGGACAAGATTTTTATACAGGATGCCAGTATTGATCTGTGCTTTGTCTCGGATGTGACTGATGTGGAAGAGGGCCAAGGAGGATGCCGAGGACCGCATCACTGGTTCTTGACAGCCAAGAACCTGACCAAAACACTGTCAAAGAGAGAAGAATGCTTTTCTCCCACGAACTGCATTTGTGGTGTCAATCCATCTTCCATTATTAGAAATCTGCAGGCACTATGGAGGTGGTAGGTAAGCACTTTTTTTTGACCTTTTTTTTTTTTTTTTTGAACTTATTATTATTTGCTTTTCCATTCAACATTGTGCACCTACTTTCTTTTCCCTGGACCTTTCATTCATTCTCATCTTGTATGAGAGCTAAAACTGTGAGCTCTGCTCTGTATCTCCAAGTTAATCTCCCACTGTGTACTCAAAACAGCAATCCCATATCGTGAGAATGCAGTAGCTAACATCTGTCCCCCGATCACCCTCTTCTGTTCTGTCTTCCCAGCTGAATTGCTCCCCTCCAATCCATGCTTAAAATGGGAACTCCCACTGCAGTCAGTTTGTTGCTAATTGCTACTTCTGTCCTGGTCTGACCCACCCCTTGGCTGTTACATACTTGTCTCCCAGTCCCCTCCCAGTGCGTTCACTGTAAGGTGAACGGATCGCTGGGATTCAGTTATCAAGTGCTCCTTGTCAGCTGGTCAAGCAAACAGTTCCATTAATCAGCACAAATTCATTGTTGTTTTGATCTTAATGGGTGTTTGTTTTCTCATCAGTGCCAATACACTGCAGCAGTAATCAACTTCTAGGTCAAAAACCAAATCACACGTCACTATTAGTGAAACTCATACTTCTGTTAGATCTACATTGACAATAGAACATTAATAGCACTTGAACTGTGTATGTCCACAGGGAATAGAAATCAGAATATGACGTTACAGAAGGTGCCTTTTCCCTGACCTCCTGATGGCTGGTGGTGGCCTTCCAGCCATGCAAAACGTCAGGCTCTGTTTTTCCAATAAAGAGCAGCACTACCTACCACATAGTATTTGGTTTGCCCTCAATGTTTATATTTTGTCCGCTTTATGGATATAGGATGCTTTTTGTAAGGACTGCCTGTATTAGTGCTGCGATAACCCAAGCTCCATCCTGCTGGTCTCTTGAAATTGCTGTTAATTAATGCTATGGCCTCTTGCTTGCTGTTGGGCAGTGCAGAATGGCACAGTCCAATCTGTTCCCCAGGAGTAAGCTCAGGCAGCTGTAGCTGTTACCCACCTCTGGTGTGTGTTAATCCCAAAAGCGATCAGAGGAAAGGTGGTCAAAGCCACCTCTCCCCAGAGATGGGGAAGGGACTTTGGAGACTGGCATCTCAAACTTGTGAGATATGTTTGCTTCTGCTGTCTTAAGAATAAAACAATAACTGGTTTTTACTTTTTTGCCCTGTAGGAAATCTGAGGTTTGCTAGATCCGCATGGCTCCTACTGATAACTGCTCAGTGCCTGGCAAAGTGGAAGGAACAAAACGGAATGTTTTTGACTTTGTGCAAATCCCTGAAACACACCAATATGTAGTGCAAGCATGGAGGGGGTTGCTCAAAGGTGAAAAGCGAAAAAAGCAGAGGGGCCGAAATGGAGGGCCTCTCTCCAACCAAGAAGATGGCAAAGACCAGACTCTCTCTGCCTAGGAAGCTAAAGAGACCTTCAAAACAGCACATCAAGTCTTGCAGTGGCCCAGGAAACTGCAGAACGGGCTGAGGCTGTGGCTGCAGAAGGAGTTAGAAATACTGAACAGCATGGAAAGGTGTGATCCATGAAAGCTGCTATTTGATCTACACCTACTTCTCCTGATGTTCCCCTATGTCATATCAACCATAAGCTTCATGGGCCCCAGAGTAACCTTTGAAGGCAGTCTACCAATGGAACACCCTTTAGCAGCACCTCTGCATACCAGTGAAAGCAGCAGGGTGGGAGAACAGTATTTTGTACGTGGGCTGGTATTGTTTGGGCCCTCCAGCCCTCCTGCCTGGCAACATGAAGAAAGGGTACAACAAGCTGCTCAGCGGAAATGTCCCTTGGTACTTGTTATGCACCCTGCCTGCTCACACTGTTGAAGCACTTGAACTCAGAGAAAAATAAAGCTGGTGATGAGACTTGAAGACACTGAACTGTGCCTCTGCGCTGGTGGCCCCTGTTATTCTGTTGACCTTTATTTGTGTGACAGCCTATTTAATAGATCTTTCTGAGTCCCTGACCTATGCTGGTGTACTGGTCTAAGCAGCGAGCCTGTCTGCTCTGCTTCCAGGAACTCTTGAAAGTACTTGCAAAGCAAAACAAACCCTAGACATTATAACACAGCCTTCCGTTCCTGCCTGGATCAAGCCTCTGAACAGTTGCTGATTTCCCTCTCAATAAATTTACATCCTGTGGTTTCCTGCAAGAAGAAAACAAAACTGAAAGAAAAACTAATAAAGGCAAAACTCAGTTTATTTGTAGCATGAAATAGAAAGACTATGTGGCCTTCCAGATCAGAGTGTTTTAGTACCATTTGCAGACCATGCCAAGTAGTTAAAAGCCTTAGGTAGGGCATGTGTCCAAAAGGGGCACGTGAAGGTGATTGTCTCTCTTGTAGCTATGTGGCCCTTGCAGACACATCCATGCTCTCTGCCAGACCCTTACCATCTGAGGAAAGTGTTGCTTTGGCTGCCTTAAACCTTCTAACCAGCACCTGCTGTCTGCTTCAGTTTCCCATATGCTGCTTAAGTGTTATTTGTGGGGTTTTGGGGTTCCCTTACACTCTAGGTTTCCAATGAAGGCCTCTATCAGCTATGTAGTGGTAGTAGTAATAGTGTTAGTAAAGGTAGTTCCTCCCTGAATACATGCTGTGTTAGCTGTGCTAATAAGTCAGGCTGTGTTACAGAATGTTGGGCAGACTTGAAGATGATACTGTGAACCGCTGTAAACCATGTGTTTTAGGCAAACTTAGCACGGATTTCAGGCTGGCCTTAGTGTGTAGCCAAGGGAAGTACATCTTTTAGGATGTGATTTTGGAACGTGTGTGTAGGGACAGCTGGTGAAAGCGTGGATGTCATTTAGTGTTGTAGCATGGCACTGGTGGGCCTACCCATAGGACTGTTGGTGTGTGACAGCCCTTACAGCTCTTACTAGATAGAAGTGCCTTTGAACTGCAGCAATTGAGCCACTGTACCAGGATGCTCGGCCACCAACAGACCTGTAACCATGGAGGCATCCAGAGAGGAAGTAGCCTGGGTGATGTGAGGTCTCCTTGGTCTGTCACTGCCATGCCACCATTGTGGCTGCTCTGTGCCAGCGTCCTCAGCTTACTGTGTGAGCGATACGGGTTTTTGCCAGAAGGGGTGCTACACCATTCTGTTCTAAGAAAAGTCATTTCTGAAGCCCTGTCTCATTGGCCTCATTTTCTTCTTTGTTTCTGTCTTATTTTTTCATTCTCTTGATGCCTCTGCAGGGAAGGGCAAAGGAAGTTGTGGTTATTGCAATAGCTGCAGTCAAAGCTTGTTGGTAGCACAACTGCTGACTTGCAAAACTGCAGCTCTCCACTGGTGAAACCTGCAGATGTGCTTGTGCAAACTGCTTTGTATGTCTGTCCCTCAGCACTGTAGTTGTAAAGTAGCTAAAATTCTCTTAGGAGTTTGAAAATAATACTTACTGATGTTCTCTTCATTCTCTCTGCCCTCTCAGAAAACAAAAGAGGAAATTAAATATGTGAAAGACTTTTGAGATGTTCTAGATTTTAGTGCCTTGGTGTGCTCTGCAGTGAGGTCTGGCTGGCTTCCTCTGTCTGTCCCATCATGTTCTGTGGGAGCAGCAGCACTCTGTGCAGTAGGGACTGTGGAGTACCCAGCTGAGGAATTTCAGTGGAGAAAATATCTCCTCCCCTTTCTGTTTTCCTTGCATAGAAACATACTGGAGTGTTCATTTAAATGTGGCTTTTAAACATTGGTTACATCAAAATGAGATGCTTGGTATTCTTACTTGCTTTGAAGTGTGTCTTCCAGCATGAATGAACTCTGAGCTCAGACAAACAACCTTGTGTAGTGTCACAAGGAAATAGCTGACAGCAAAACTGGTTTAAAAGCAAAACAAAACAAAACCACCAGAAAGCAGTCCTGGAAAAAGAGCCCTTCTCTTTCAATAAAGCACATGGATTTATTATCCTTGTAACTAAAGCTGGTTTTGAAATTGTTAGCTTGGCATCTGCAAATGGATATTTAATCTTTTTCCAGCTGGTGATGGTGAGTCCGACTTCAGAGCAGTATGACAGTTTGCTCCAGCAGATGTCAGAGAGGATTGATGAGGGATGTGGGGAGACCATCTATGTCATTGGGCAAGGATCAGGTGAGTATAGCTTCTTCAGGAAAACAACAAAACCCATCAAATTATAAGAAAAACCTAGTTTATCTAACTGCTACTGAAGGTAATGCTTACTTTTCCAGAATAATTTGGAAACCTCCATAAAGTATAGCAGAGTATGTGGGATAGATTTTTTTCTTTTATTTCTGCCAGCAGCTGTCTTACGTAGCAGAGCTAAACATATTTTTTGTATAAAATCATACAAGTTCTCTTTTGGAAACAAGGCATGTCTTGTCTTGAGCACACCAGGAAAAGACTAAAGGTCTAAGAACATAGTAACAGTTTTAGTACAGGTGTCCTCATTGTGTACGAAGGTCTCATTCTGTCTGGTTTTGTTCACTGCTCCATTGGAAATAACATATTTTCACCCCACAGGAATGTATTAGAGATACTTCAGACAGCCAAAATATATGCTGCTGACTTTGTTAGCATGTGTCTGTACTATGGAGGGGAAGATTTTCCTTTTCTCAGCATGAGGCCTTTATTGCCACAATAATTTGTGTGTCACCACAGTCATTTGTCTTTGCAGATTTTAGCAGTTAGCACAGATTACCTTTTTGTTCTTTTTGACAATTTGAATATTTTCATCTGATGCTGGTAAAATAATATTGAATGTGGCCTTGCTTTGAAATTAAAATTTCTGAATATAAAATAATTGGCTATCATAAGGTTAAAGGCATGTTTCAAATATACTAGATACGTGCTGGATATGAAGTTGTTATGATCAGCCATTCACTGTGTTTGAGGAATAATATAGAAATCTGGTTGTGGGTATCAGGTTTGGCTGAGAATATGGAGGGAGAGAGCTGTGTTACCTCAGAACTGTGTCTTTTTGGGTTTCTTAGAGTCTTGAGAAGAGGCCAACATAGAAGAGAAGCCAGAATTAGATGGCCAGTGGTCATGCAGCCAATAAATATCACAGGAATAATGCTCTTGCCTCCTGGCAAGCTTCCCACATGTAGTCTGATTCATTGGTGTTTGGGATAACCACATCTGCAGTGGAGATTTAGCTAATCAGGCTAGTACCCTCTTTTTCTTCTAGGATAGTCTTGTGAGGGTGTTAACTGGTGGTTGTTGTGATGATGTACTTAGAAGTAGGCATTTGTTTCCTAAAATATGAGCTTAAACTTCTGACTTCATTTTGGGTTGCTGCATAGTCAAGGAAGATGGGGATATATAACAGAGAAAGAATCCTGGTATCCCTGCCACTGTCTCTCCTTCTAATTCACTTGATTTTGGTCATCCCAGATAACCAACTTGGCAGACTGAGAAGTGAATGAAGACTGCCAGGAAGCTCACTGCTTCACCAGTGGCAACTCTTCCATTTCTCCCTTGGCTCTTACCCTCTCCTGTCCCCTACGTCTTGTTCCCCTTCTATGACCCAAAACTCCAGCCATGATGCTTTTTGTTTTCCTCACCATCTCAACAGCTTCTCAGCCGGCTTATGAGCTAGGTTGGAAATCACCCAGTAACTGCTAGTTTTGGAGCTGTGTAGTAGTTAACATGCTGATTAGTTTGTGCAAACTGCAGTTACTGCTTACCAGGTGATGAGTCAGCCATGCATATGAACACGCACACACCCAGTAGCTTTGGTCCTTCAGGTGCAGTGTGGCCCTCCACTTTGTTTGTTGTTTTGTGGATTTTTTTTACCCACAGAGGAGATTCTGGCCTGAAATCTGTGTACCTTCACAGCATCTGGGTTAGGAAAGAGGCTGTGGTGGCCTTGACATTGTCTAGGTAGTTGCCACTGGCTTGATCAGACTGTTGGCTCTTTGCTTGGGTGAGCTGTTCGGAGGAAGCACTGCCTCCTTGGTTTTTTCTGGTCCCATGTGCTGTCAGCATTTTTTTCAAGTACCAGGATGAAGGCCAAAAACATTGTTTTAACTGGAGTACGTGGGGGCTGAAGAAATTGCTGTGCCGGCCAGACTTGCAGAAAGCGTTTACTTGGGGTGTGGTTTTATAAAACAAGGTGATTGTTAACATTTGTCCCACGTTCCCTGGTTAATTGTGGTGATATTTCAGTCAGAGCTTTCATTTCGTTAACGCTTTACCCTTTATTGCAATGCGAGAGGAGATATTTCGTCTGACTGAAGGACACAAAGTACCTTCAAGCATGTGAAGTAAGGGAATTAGACAAAAATGTGTCTTTCTTGCCAGTCCATAAGTATTTGCTTGTAAAAATTGTGAAAACTCCTCTAGGTGAAAGATGGTGCTTTTCTAGCGTCTTTTAAGACTCAGAGTGAAAACCATCTCTTTTTATTTTGAGTAAAGGATGCTTGTTCTGTGTACGTGACTGACATCTCCAGTCCATGTATAAATCCTGATCGGTGTGAAGGTCCCAGGCAGGATGATGTTGCTGCTGGCTGTTGCGAGGTGGTGCTCACTGACTCTTCTTTCTCCTCAACACCACGCTAGATGGGACTGAATACGGTCTGAGTGAGGCAGACATGGAAGCGTCCTATGCCACGTTGAAGAGCATGGCAGAGCAGATCGAGGCAGACGTGATCCTCCTGCGGGAGCACCAGGAGGCAGGGGGCAAGGTGCGCGACTACCTCGTTCGGAAACGCGTGGGTGACAACGACTTCCTGGAGGTCAGGTGAGGAGCCAGGTGGAGCCAGGGTTAGTCAGCAGCTCAGCTGCATTTTTACTGTGTGAGCAGTCCGTGATGCTGAGCCAGCAATGCCGGTTCGAGTCTGGGTGTTGTAGCTACCCAACAAAGGGAATTGAGCCTGACCACTCCTTGCTAATGAAATTGCCTTTTTGTTGTTGCAGTCTCTTTTGTGAACAAACAGTTGGTGAAAATTTGCCTGTGTTTAGCAGAGGGCTGTTGCTGTCTGGGTGAGGGAGTCACATGTGCACATGTGTCACTATGCATGTGCACATATGCACACTGCTGGAACACAATGCTGTTGACTAAGGAATCAGTTCTATTCCAAGACTGTGATGATCCAAGTCACCTTTTAATGGACATGTACTAGCTTATATAACATGACTTGAGGGTCTGCCCAGACCTGGATGGAGTGGCTTTCCAACATTTGCCAACAGCCATAATAGCCACCTTGATCAGAGTCAAAGAAACAGCTTGCTGTAGGAGATGGTTTTCTCCTAAAACATTTCATTATTATTTGAGCTTTTCCTTTTCTGGGAACAACAATTTCCATTTTTGTGCTCTACTTAGCACTTGGTGCTATTGCGACATAAGGAATGTCAGAAAGGCAGAGATATTCTAGATCGGGTTGGGATTTAGTGTTCCTTTTGAATTGCCACAGTGTATATGTTGGATTACAGAGACAAGGAGGTGGAAGAGAGACACTCTGTATGGCATCAGGCAATGTCAGGTTCAGTTGACCTTGTGCTGAACACCAGTGACATGTTTCCACAGTCTTTTGCATCCCAGTCCCCAGAGTTTATGATCTCTGCTGTTAATAAATAACTGTAAAAGAATCTCTGCTCTGCTTGTGAAGGCCTAACGTTTTTTAATCTCTGTTTAAAGGATAGGGAGAAATAAACAGTTATTCGCAGGAGCAGTGATGTTTGGGGTTTTTTGCTTGCTTGTTTGTTTCCTCAGGTATTGTATTTTACCAGGTTTCTTTTTCCTTTCCCCTCCAGGGTAGCAGTGGTTGGCAATGTGGACGCAGGAAAGAGCACATTGCTGGGTGTCTTGACTCACGGTGAGCTAGACAATGGCCGAGGCTTTGCTCGGCAAAAGCTCTTCCGCCACAAGCACGAGATTGAGTCAGGCCGCACCAGCAGCGTGGGCAATGACATCCTGGGCTTCGACAGCGAGGGCAACGTGGTGAACAAGCCCGACAGCCACGGTGGCAGCTTGGAATGGACAAAGATCTGTGAGAAATCCACCAAGGTCATTACTTTCATTGACCTGGCTGGTCATGAAAAGTACCTGAAAACCACCGTCTTTGGCATGACTGGCCACTTACCTGATTTCTGCATGCTTATGGTAGGTAGCAAGAAAGATGTGCCATACCAGCTGGAGTGGGGCTGTTCACAGCTTTAACAGCCTCGACTTCTTTCCTATTGCAAAGTCCTTGTGGGGTTATGGAGGGAGGCAGCATCTCGCATTGCTGGGGAGCAGAAGTCTCTGTGGGTGTCTCTCCAGGACTCTGAGGCAAGTGCCACAAAGCTGTCAATCCCAGACAGTCCCAAGGTTTGTGATTCTTGAAAATGGAAAGATTTCTAAATTCTAGAAAACCTTGTTAAAAACTGGGAGAAATGAGTCCTTTGCCAGCGTCCAACAGCATTTGAGATGAGCTGAGATTGCTCATACGGTCACAGTGTACATCTACAATCTAATCACAGTCTACTGCACATCTGGCACAAGGTCTTCTCTGTAACCCAGCAGGAGGAACATTTACATCCCTGTGTCTTATATCCCTGGTATAGGTTGGCAGTAACGCTGGGATTGTTGGCATGACCAAGGAGCACTTGGGCCTGGCGCTTGCGCTTAATGTTCCCGTCTTTGTTGTGGTGACCAAGATTGACATGTGCCCGGCCAACATCCTGCAAGGTGAGTCCTCTAGGCTCTCTCTAGGGCTGTTTCTTACCTCTGTATGTGCTGCTGTCCTCTGCTTGGGTTCAGGAATTACTGCTGGAGAAAAACTGCTTTATCTGATTTTGACTGCATACTAAACACCTTCCAGCAATCTATCCTTTTTCCCTTGCCCGTTTTGCAGGTGCTTCACTTGGAGTCACCATGTCAAAAATACCCATGTTGGGGGACTCAGCTGGGCAACCTGAAAGTGTTTCCTACTCTAAGAGGAGCAGCATACAGTTGGGGTTGGGGCTTTGCTTTCTCTCTGGGTATTTAAACCTGGAGAAAAAATCTGGAAGTTCTTTTGAAAGCTGCTCTCCTCCTTGCCCATAGTTTGAGTGTGATCTGACGCTGTGACCGGACTTGTTCTCCGGCAGCTGGTAACGAAGGGGCAGCTGCTTGTTACATCCTGCTCACCTGGGCACTTCTTAGGTATGCTGGTGTAACTTCAGCAGCTCCTTCCTCTGTCTGAACAACCAACACTTAATAAATCGTGGTTTGAAGCAGCTGCATGTGTGGGCTATGGTAGCAGAATGGGAGACAGGACTAGACACAGGCAGGGATGGCAATGAATAGTAGGGGCTAGTGATTTTTTTTGTTTCTCAGCAGCAGTTAAAGCAGCACCTCTAACCCCAGCAGTGACCCATTAACCCATGTTTGATATTTTTTCAGGCAGTGACCAACTCTCACCTTTGAAATTCTCTTTAAGCATTTCTTACACCTCACAGGAATATTCTTTAGTTAATTGGAAGAATGTTTTCATTTTTTTGATAACCAGTCCTAAGAATCAGGCAAGTGAATGCTCCCAGTACTGAGTTCATTACTGTAAAAATCCCAAATATGTTTCAGGTAAATACAAGCATGTGAACAGAAGATAATCTAAATATCTCTAGAGTAGTTACTTGGCAAATAAATGTAAGGCCTGAATATAAGGTAATAACCGGGAAGGAAGAAGAACATTTGGTTCCATGTGAGAAGAGAAGAGCTGGTCCTGGGAGAAGCCACTCCCATGACAGGCTCTGTTTAAAGTAAAGACACAAGATTTGACTCAAGTGTAACTGTGAAGAGCAGATGGCATGATTAGATGTTTGTGTTTCAATATCCAAAACATTAGTTTTCCATAGGCAATCATTTGTTCACAAAAACCCATCTAATTGGATGACAATTGTAGAATATAAATAACCTGCTCTTTTAAGTCCTTACTACCCTTTTTTGGTTTTTCCTCATTTATTGTAAGGTACTTTGCAGGAGGCTGATGCCAGTGCACCAGGTAATGCCCCTGCTGGCTCATAGATGCGAGGCTTAGAAAATACTTGAAAAAGAGGCAAAAGATGAAAGTTATGAGTCATGAGATTTACCCCAAAACAGTGATTTCCAAATCTGGTCCACCCACACTGTTCTGGTCTACAATGGTGATCTTTACCTCTTTCATGCTTCTCCAACCTCCTAGGGCAAGCTGACTTCCAGGAAAAATGTATTGAGGTGTGTTTGGTCAAAATTGATTTCTGAATCACATGTTCTCAAATATTTCTGTTCCTGAGTCCTGATGGTTTTCATTTAATTCAATATGAAAAATCCTTTATAGGAAGAGGAAATACCTTGTAACTGCTTAAAGCTACTAATAGACAGCTATAAAATGTCTACTTCACAGCATTGCACTTGCAGATGCAAACTTGTCTGTCTGTTCGTGTATGGTGTCGCTTGGCAGCAGGCTAGCTGGCATGAAATGGAAGATGGAATGGCTCCTAAGTCCTACCTGGGCTGCAGCAAACTCATAGTCTCACCTTTAGCCATCTTCTCCTGTCTATTTGTGGCCAGAGCACCCGTCTCCCTTCAGGGAGAGACCCCACAAAAGTGATTTGTAAAGACGGGAGATGCTGCCCTAACAATATTCATTTCACCCTTTAAGAAACCCTGAAGCTGTTACAGCGACTGCTGAAGTCCCCAGGGTGCAGGAAGATTCCCGTGCTGGTTCAGAGCAAGGATGATGTCATTGTAACAGCCTCCAACTTCAGCTCAGAGAGGTAACGGGAGTAGAGGAGAATCATTTCTCTTTCGATCCTATTTGGAGACTGGGTGAGGAGATTCAGAAAGAGAGTCCCATTGTCTAGATGTGTGAAGGTTGCATCTGCCATGTGGTGTGTTGATTCCATAAGAGTGTGTTGATTCTGAGGTTGACCTGCTTGTGTTCCCCTCTCTGAAACAGAAGTGAGAGGCTGCTTCTGGGCAGTCTGCAGAAGACGGCAGGGCATTCGGCTTCCTTCAGTCCTGGAACCTTACACATTATTCCAAATGTCATTAGAAGGCAGAGGCAATGTTGCAGGTGTTCAAACATGGGGTGTTGTGCATCTGACTGCTTGCCAGGCTCTCCCTTCCTAGCACTGTGTTTTGAATTCAAGTCCCAAGATTTTGGATGTCTCCCTACGTGTGGAAACCTGGGTAGGAAGGTGAACTAACTCCATTTTCATCAATTTTCCTTTACAGGATGTGTCCGATTTTCCAGATTTCAAATGTTACCGGGGAGAACCTAGATTTGCTGAAGATGTTTCTTAATCTCTTGTCTCCACGGACCAGTTACAGGGAAGAAGAGCCAGCAGAATTCCAGATAGATGATACTTACTCTGTCCCGGTAAGGGGCCTGGTTTTTGGAGGAATGTTCTGTTCCCTCTTTCAGGTCGAAGAAGGTATTTTCTCTAGAGAGGGGAGTTCTAGAGCTATTCTGTCTGCCTGCCTGAGTAACCCCAATTACTGTTTTTTCTCCTTTGGCATAGGGCGTAGGAACAGTTGTCTCTGGGACGACACTAAGAGGCCTCATCAAGCTAAATGACACCCTTCTGCTGGGGCCAGATCCCCTTGGCAACTTCCTACCTATTGCTGTCAAGTCCATCCACCGCAAGAGAATGCCTGTCAAAGAAGTGCGAGGAGGCCAGACTGCCTCCTTTGCTTTGAAGAAGGTGAGATGATCTTCTCTAGACCCCCACAAAAGGAACCACCCTCTAATTTTCAAGTGTTCTCAGAGATCAGCTACAATAAGACTGTTTCTGCAAACCTCAGCTGCCTCACTTTGCAGTGGAATAAAATCCCATAGAACTTCTGTGGATTCTACATCCTGGTTGTTCCTCCTGAGAGCTGCCAGGCCATAGCAGTGCCCCTAGGCAATGACAAATAGTGTTGGAGATATCTAACAAAGTGAAGGTACTGCAAGAAAAGTCTCCTTTTGTGCTGGAACTGCATTAATATCCTGAGTAGTATATTTACACTATTCCTCTTGGCTTGTAAGACCAACTGCATGATTTGGGATTTAAAAATAAGCAAAAATTGATGAAATTCCCCTTCCGAAAAGGTTTCTGTCAATAGAGGCTCCAGTTATTTTGAGGGGATATAGTTTAAACTACACCATACTTCATGTGTTCAGGCTTATCGTGTTGTGTTAACAGACGTCGTGCTCTTAGAGAGATGATCTGCTTGGGTAATGTGTAACCAGAATGTATGTTTTGCTTTTAAAGGAGCAGTGAGGTACGTGTGTCAGCGTCCAGCATTCCCAGCACTCTAACTGAAGCTGCCTTGGAAACTTCAGCTAAACTTGATTTTCACCACCTTTACATAACATCACATATGTAACATACTGTTAACAGTTCTTGTTTTGCCTTTTGGCGAGCGTGAGATAATATCTGTGAAATCTCTTAGGACCCTTCTGGATGCAGTCAGCCAGAGAAGTAAATTTCTTCCCTGGAGAATCATGCTGAAGTTTTTTGTGTCTCTGCTTTCCAGATCAAGCGCTCTTCCATCCGGAAAGGCATGGTAATGGTGTCACCCCGCCTGAATCCACAAGCATCGTGGGAGTTTGAAGCAGAGATTCTGGTGCTCCATCACCCCACCACCATCAGCCCACGATATCAGGCCATGGGTACGTGCCTCAGTGTTGTCTCGTCTTTGTTTCCCGGTGGTAGCAGTTGGTATCAGCTCTAGCCTGAGATAATTCTGCTCCTGAAGGCTCTGTCAACATGAATATATGCCACAGTTCCTGGTTTTGCCTTTCCCAGCAATGTGTGAGAGAGAGGGGAGGGAGCTGACAGAGGAGAGTGGAGGAGGTAAAAAGGAGATGTCTGCCCTCAAGTGTATTTGGAGCCTGCCTGAGGTGGATCTCCATGGTGCAAAGATTCTTCACCTTCAAATGCTGATGGAAAGATTCATTTTGGGTCCTGCCCTCTAGCTGAGCTGCTTGGTGTGTAGAATTCTGTTTAGGGTGCTTCAGGACAGGCACCATTCGAAGGCAGCTGTTCTAGATCATAGTGTTTTCATTTTGAGGGTTCAACAAAGGCAGCTGCGTGACTCGAGTAGTCTTTGCTGTAGGGCCACGAGCTGCCTTCGATGTCTGTCTGGAGCTCGTTCCACTAATGGCACTGGCTGTTGAAAGCCTTTGTGCATTACATTCGCAGTGCATTGTGGCAGCATCCGCCAGACGGCCACGATTCTCAGCATGGACAAGGACTGCCTGCGAACAGGGGACAAAGCCACAGTGCACTTTCGCTTCATCAAAACCCCGGAATACTTGCATATAGACCAGCGGCTGGTCTTCCGTGAAGGCCGCACCAAAGCTGTGGGTACCATCACTAAGGTAAAGGCTGAAGAGTCCAACTTGGTTTTGCCCATTAGCTACTTCTTACATTGAGAAGCCAGCAGGAGAATTTGGGTAGCTCTGGAAAACTGAGGGAAGAGGCTGTCCTTCAATTACAAACATCAGCCCTGACATGGGTTCTGGATGACCAGTGTGCTTCGTCATGTGGTGGATCTTTAGCTGGTGCGAGTGAAGGAATGTGAAGGTGGGGGGTAAACCAGGCCTCTGGTTCTTAAGGCTCAGTCTCTTTCAGACATCTTGTAGCTGGTCCCTTTGAGTCATGTTGTGGATGGTGGAGTGGCCTTTTCCTCCTGGTAAGAGTTCTTGAGGGCATCTTAGAGGCCTAGGTTTCTTTGAATAGCTGCTACATTCTATTGGTATAAATTCTCCTGAGGCTTTTTGTTAAAAAGCAGCACTGAACCTTGCCAGATCAGCCTAGCTGTTTTAATGCTGACTTTGGCCTCTCCATTTGCAATTTGCAGTTACTCCAGACCACCAATAACTCACCAATGAACTCCAAGCCACAGCAGATCAAGATGCAGTCGACCAAGAAGGGAACTGTTACAAAACGAGAGGATGGTGTTCCCGCCGCTGGGATGGCAGCTGGAGGCCCACCAGCTGGGGACGAGGCCCCCTCAACAGCTGCAGCACCACTGACAGCTACTGCCCTGCAACCATTGGTGAGTGAGGAAAACACCATGTCAGTCCTAGCTGTTTGCATCCTGATTTCCCCCTGCTGGCGGAAAGGCACTCTAAAGCACAGGCATTATGCGCTCATACCTTGAACTCTCCTTGGGATTCAGTGTGCCACATAAACAAATAGAAATATAAGTAGTCTCACAGCAGAAATTTTAATTCTCTGATGACTGACCCTATGGCTGACCTTTCAGCAGACAGCTGCTGAAGGTCCTAGGACGATTCAGGTTAGACCTCAGGAAATGTCTAGTCAAACCCCTTGCTCCAAGTAGGATTAGCTGTGAGGTCAGACCAGGTTGCTCAGGGTTTTATCCAGTCATGTCTTAAAACCCTCCAAGGGAAGACTGCACAACCTCTCTTCGCAACCTGTCAGTACGACTGTGCTCACAGGGAAGATGTGTCTCCATCATACCCAGTAGCTGAACTAGTGAAGCATCAAACAGCCAGTCACAGAATGGGTCTCTGATGTCTGAATGAGATGTAGAATATCCCTACACTAGAAAGTTAGAAGCTGAGTATTAGTCACAGGTCATCTGCCCTGTCAAAGAGGGAGGATGGAGATATCCAAGGAGAAGGAAAGGCTTATCTCTCCCTAGAGAAATTTATCCAGGTTGTTTTGTTGGTTAGGACCTCTCAGCTCAGCTTGTTAATGAAGGATACCTAGCCTTTTTGGCCTGAAAGAAATGGAAACTCAATTCTAACTGCAGGTTCTGGGAGCTATTTATCAGCTTTATTACTGATAGAAGACAGATCTTCTCCTTTTAGTGTACTTACCTAATAAGTGAAAGGTTCAGGAACTGACCCTGTTAAGAGACCTGGTCTCTTGAAGTGTTCCCCTTCTTAACTTCCTAACTAACTATGTTAGTTGCCATTGGTCGAATCTTTAGCCATGCTGGCTACTGAAAGAGCCCTCTGGCAAGGGTTCTCTCCCTCTGCACGTGCCTGGGTCTTCACACCAGTCCTCCATCTCCTCCTTGTCTTGTTGTAGCATCACTGTGGTTGTAAGTAGTGCTCCCAGCTTGCGTTTTGTTTCATCCCTCCCCCTGAGACTCTTGCTTTTGTTCTTGCTTACCTCTTCCTCTCTCTCCTTGCTGCTTCCACTCAGCCTGCCCTGGATGAAGAGCCCCATATCCGTGAGGGCAATAAGGTATTTGGCTGATTTCGAAGAAGAACAGTGGGTTTGCTGGCCTGAGGTTGGGAACGCAGTCAGATCAACCAGAGAGCTGTGGTAGGGGGGCGGGGGGCTCTCCTTCCATTCTGCACAAAGTCAAGGGAGCCTGAGGTCTTGATTTCCTGGATGCTGAAGCCCATGCCACCTGCTGGCTCTCTTTGGGAGTGAAGCACTCAAATATTGGGAAATCAAATCCTTCCCAGCTTGAAAGGCAGAATTTTATGGTGCATCTGTCTCTCCTCCTTCCCTCATGGTGTGTCTGTTTGCCTTACCTCCTTCCTGCAGTGGTAGGAAGCCAGCCAGTCACAACTGCCCTCCCGCTGTCTGAATGTGTGCATGATCCATCTGAGCTCCTGCTGTGTTGATTAAGGGGTCCCTTTGCACTAAAGTCAGTCTTCTTGTTTTTCAGTCAAAAGTCGGAGGAGGAGGCCGGCGACGTGGGGGTCAGCGCCATAAAGTGAAATCTCAGGGAGCCTGTGTGACTCCTGCCAGTGGCTGCTGAATTTCTTATTCCTCCCCTCTCTGAGGAATTCCTCCCCTTCTCTTCATTTCTTATCCAAAAGATCCAGAGCAGCTTAAACCAAAACCCATCCCAGCTGATTGGCTGCAGAAGAATCGTCCCTCCTCCCTGAAGGAAGCGATGGAGAGGAGCATAATTTATAAGCTAATGAAGGTGATGAGACACAGAGAACTGAGTAACTGACACCTTCCTCCTCCACCTGTTGACACATTTTTGTACATCATGAGCTTAGTTTTTATTCTTATTAGTTTTTATTATATTTTGTGTGCATGAAGATGAGAGGAGAGTCTGGATAGAACTGCAAAGAGCCAGTTAGTTGCCTCCCTCCTCCCTCACCCTTTTCTGTCCACAGGACTTGCTGCTCTCCCCCTGTTTGCTGTCTCAGATCCAGGGGTTATCAAACGCCTGAAATTTCAGACTTGCAAAGGTTAAAACACGTTGCTTAGGATGGCTCCATGGGGCACTGTTTCCTCACCACTGTGGCCCTGTGCCAAATATGTTTCTGGATTCCCTCCCTCTTGAACTATTTCTAAGCGGATTTAATTTAATGTTGTAGTGACTGAAGTTTGAAGAAGATGGTAAGAAAGTTCTTTAGTTGGAGATCTAAGAGGGAAACAAATTGCAAAGCAGTTCTTGATGTTAAATTCAGGGATCCTATGCTAAATATCCTTCTCAAATAATGTTGATAGCACTTAAGATTTTAATTAGCAACAGAGTTAAGTGGGCAGATGTATGCCCATCCTGTTCCCCTTCCCATTGTGCTGCTTCTCCGAGTGTTTGTTCAGTGCACATGGAAGCAAATCTAACCTGCCTCTCAAGGCTGCAGCATCTCAATTGACAGTATTAAGAATATAGTGCAGGAACACTCAGTCTGTCCCTTGAGCCAGAGAAAGCCTTCTCACCTCGACGGACAGAGGTCGCAGGTGGCAATATACCTTTGGAACAGAGACACCAGGCTAACGTGACCTCCCCTTGATTTTTTTACTACAAGATTTTCAAAATCTTTCTTGGAACTCAGTGGCCAAACTTCGCAATGGCAGAGGTAGGATTTGTCTTCTCTCCTCTTGACCAAAGAGGGCAGTGATGAATTGGTACCAAATTTATAGAAGTGCTTTCAGGATTGGAAGTACATAGTAATTCTTGTGACTTTTAATTTCATTGTTTTTTAAGATTGTATTTTATTTTAACGACAAATTCTCACTTCTCCAGGAAGGCCCTGCAAGGATAGTCTACAAATTACTGTTAGAATGTTTTTTTAACCCTGAGCTGTGCAAGTGATCAATTACCTACGTATTTTGATCTCCCTTCTAACCCTGCCTCTTCGCTTGGCTCTGGTGAGGATAGGAATTATGCTCTGCCAGCTTGTGGTGAGCTGTGGGAGTGTGGTAGCGTTTTGAGGAGGAGGAGGTGGCATCCTCAGCAAATCATGGCTCTCCCCAGCAGGTGTGGTCAGCCTCGGTTTCTCTGAGGGCTTCCTCCTCCAATGAAGGACTTGTGTTTTAATTAGAGAGACTGTAAAGCTTCTGTCCCTCCTGAGCGGGTTGTTCTTGTTTCTTACTCTGTGGCCCCTGTGTGGAGTTCATTCCAGTTCACCTTGAGATTCGAGGTGAGGCTTTCACACCGACCGAGCGGCAGCAGGATCAGGGGGCACAGCGCTTCTCCCGATGCCAACACCAGCACTCCAAAAGCATTAAGCGGCACGGGAGAGGTGAGAAACGTAGTTTGGAGATGAGGGTACTTTGCCTTAGAGACTGCAGTGACTTGAGCATGGGTGGGAGGGGGAGGTCAGACAGTCCTTTTTCCAAGCTATGTGCCTAAATACCAGCACTCTCCTGGCAAGGGAGGAACTATAGGCGGCTACAACACTAATAGCACCCGCATTGTGAGGGGGTGTGAGGTGTGGCTAAGCAGGGCATGAGGGCCTGGTTTGTTTGTCTTCTGGCCCTGTAGCAGCATCAAACTGCATCTGATTTCACTGCCCTCTGCTTCTGAGGGGAGCAGGGAGCTCCAGGCGGTTTTCTCTTTCTCCATTCCTTGTGCTCCAAATGAAGGAGACTGCCGAGACTGAAAGAAGGTTCACTTCAATTTGTGCAAAGGAGGTGGTGTGATCTCTCTTTTGTGACCAGCATTTAAAGATCACTCAGGCTGGCGTGATCTATAAAATAAATTTTAAAAAAGTTTGTTCCAAGTTAAAAGTGTGTCTTGTTGCTTTTTGTCACTCTGGAAAACCAGGCTGAAAGCCAGACAAAGGAGGTTTGCTTGGCACCAGCCTCCTTTGCTGGCTACAAAATGAGGCTGCATTCACAGTGACGGCAGGGGAGGGCATGGCATGGCACAAGAGAGCTGCTGCTGACAGCTTTTACTCTGAACAAAATTTAGTGCACCTTGGTGGCAGAGTGGTTAAATGAGAACAGCAGTGTGGTGTGAGCTGTGTGAGATGTGTATGAGTGCGTGTGGAAAGCAGCTATAGCAAATCATTTGGGGCCAGCTCCATCAGAGAACCTCTGCTGCAGGATGCAGCTTTAGCACAGCACTTGCACTGCCTGCATAGTGTGCTCCCTGGGCCCTCGCTAGGACTTGCACCTCACTTGTTTCTGCAAACACAGCAAGACTCCCCAGTGTTTGGAATGAGATTTTTTCTGCCTCATCAGTTTATCTCAGAGGTTCATGAAGGCTTTTTCTGCCCTGCACAGCCCTTTCACAGGTAAGTGTTGGGCTGGGAGCTGGTGGTAGCTGGAGCAGAGGCCCACACAGCCTTTCTCCTGGTGATGGCTGGTCCAGGGCCAGCACAGAGCAAGCCTGGCCCTAGGGTGACCTTCTGCGAGGAGCTGCATGTTACTCCTCAACACAAGCCTGCCTCCAAGCCCATCCTGGTTAAGCAGACAGGGTTGAGAACCTCCTCAAGCGAGTTCAATTTCCCTTTTTTTGCAGCCACCTTCTATGCTCTAGGTTAACTTTCTCATGCTGAGGAAAATTAAATATTTCCTTTCTACTTGCTCTTAGGTGCCTGCTCAGTAATTTACAACCCACGTTAGGGAAAAGAGCAGCCTGCAGCCACCCTTAATTGTGCTTTGTCAGGCTTTCTCTCCCTGCTGCTCCTCAGGGCCAAGCCAGGCTTCGCTAATGATAAGGCAAAGGACCGATGATGCCCAGGGAGGGCCTGGAGGTCACTGCAGGATGGACACAGCCACAGTCCATCACAGACCTATGTCTAGTAGAAGTCACTGAAGTCCCCAGGAATCTGAGTTTTGCCTCCCAGAGCCTTCTCAATGACAAGGTGACAACCGCTGACCCTAGAGTTAGAGTACATCAGGCTGAAAAATATGGATTTGCCCTAAGACTTCAAAGAATAGCTACAAGAATAGCTTTGTCCACCTACTAGCTGTGCATCATTCCCAACAGCAAATTCACTTACAGAATATCCAAATCTACAAAACAGGACAATTTTGATATAATTTATTTGTCTCGGTCTTTTTTTTTTTTTTTTTGCATAGGCATAAATTACAATCTGTTGATTAAAAAATAAAATGAACAAAACAGTGCAGCATTTGCAACAGGCTACAGCATCAAATACAAACTCCTGCCTATAACCATCTGTTTCTGCAGGGTTAATTTGTAACACGTGTGTAGGGCAAACTGAGAAGGAGGGAAAATAGAGGAGGGAAATGGAGTAAATAAGGAAAATCTGCTCCCACAGCTGTTCTGCATTTCTCCTGCCTCACCAGGCTCATCTTCTGCATCAGCTCTAGGATTAAATACCCTTGGGCAGAGATGTACATGCTGAAGCAGCAGTTTTATGTGCCCTCTTTTTTTTTTTTTGTAGCTCTGGGAAGTGTTGCAGAAATCCTGCAAGCTGCTGCTGGAAAGGCAGCTGCCCAGGCACTCAGTACAGGTACTCAGGCTGCAGCCCAGCACTGATGCTGAGTGTGGGGGCTGAAAAACTACATATAGCCTCAGCATATGTTCCTGGGGATCCTCACATAGGCAGCACCGTGAGGCCTCTAAAACCAGCTAGAGAAGAGCATAAAGCCCCAGGATGAGCCCTCACTGGTGTCTCCAGGGGGGTTTACCTCAGAACAGCAGAGACATTCATTTCCAAAGGACAGGGCAAGCTTGTCCTCTAAAGCCAAATGCTCCCTAACCCAGAGCCAGCAGTTAACACCCCCTTGGAAGGGGCAGAGACCCTGCTACAACTCCATTCTCAGGGAAAGAGGTCCCTTTTCCCACCTCTTACCAACATGCATGATTTACCACAAAACCATTTTTTCTTGGGCAAAGACTCCTGATAGTCCAAACCAGAGACCAGGGAGCCAGAAGAAACATTAAAGAAGGGGTTTTCCCAGCCTCATGGTTATGGCATTTGCTCCAGCAGCCAAAGGGAGAACTTCATCTCTGCTCTTTCTTTATCATTCAAATAAATACAGGAGCTGCTCTGCTGAGCCCAGAACAGGTCTAGGCATTCATAAAAGCACAGCTCCATGTGCACAGGGCACTCACGGACATGACTCCAAGGCAAGCAGGCAGCTGTAGATGAGTTTAAAATAACTTTGGCTGTGGATGCCAAGAATTAAGACTATGCTCAATATAGGAGAGAATTTATAGTCACTGGATCTGGCTACAGGTCAGCTTTCTCCCCGCAGCAGGGCCTCCCAGCTCTGCAGGAGGCTCCACAGGGTAATTTTAACCTTCTGGAGATGGGGCCATGCCCTCTGGGCTCGCTTCCCTTGCTTGGAGCAAGGGGACCCCTCGAGAAGGGATGTGCTGCCACCATCCTAATCCCCTCAGGGTGGCATGGAGCGGGGCAGGGCTCAGCATCTCTGCCCGATGATCAACATATTAGGGCATGATGAAGGGAGACACTTCCTCAGCCCCTTTCCCTCCTCTATGCCTACAGTGCTTTAAGCAGAGACCACCAGAGTGGGAATCAATACACAGTGCTCTCATGGTGCCAGGGGAAGAATGATACCAGCATCAGACAGGGATGAAATGCTAAATGTGAGCCCTTTAGCTTTTCTTTCAACAAAACACAAGACAAAGGTGGAGTCTGTAAACACCAAAAGAACATAAGCCAAACCACATGTGATGCAGGCAACTAGGAGGTGGAGGGGCCAGATGGCTCTGGCACTCCTCAGCCCAGGGAAGCTCTCTGTGCATCCTTTCTGCAAACCCCTGCTGTGGCTACCCCCCATCCACAACATGAGCACTGGCAGGATTTACATGCCCACTGCAGTCAGAACTCCCCATCCTGCTCCAGCACTGTCCTCCACAGCCAGGGCTCAGAGAACAGAGCAATGCCTGTGAGAAGAGGTAGGAGGGAAAGGCAGCCCTTCCAAGAGAAAGCAGGTCAAGCCTGCACCAGCCATCTGCCATCAGGGACCGGGAGCTGATGGAGGCAGTCCAGGGCACTGCAGGTGGGGGTGGCTCTGCTGCTCCCCAATGAGCAGAAGCACGTTGGCACCTGCAAGCCCCGGAGACTGCCCCATCTCCCACCCGAGAGACCTGCAGAGCACTGAGGCAGCAGTTCCTGCTTGCTGCTAACAGTCAAGTATACACAGTTGCAGCCATGAGCAAAAGGCCACAGCCACCCACTGCAGTCTCAGAGGACATCCAGAGCAAGGAGGGCAAGGAATGCCTCCAGCACCCCACCAGCAGCAGTAAACAGAGGACCCCATCTCCCAGGTCCAGCTACCAAGCCACCAACGAGGCCCATATTTCAAACAGCTCTGCTCCTCTTGTTCTAGCTTATCCTACTATGTGCGCTATTCTCCTACTAAACAAAGCTCTAGCCCTCTCCACATCTAAGCCACTTGCCCAAGTGGCACCATGTAACATTCTCCGGTTAAGTACAAATTGCAAGGAAAAAGTCTTTTTTCCCTTTGTTACTACAAAAAAAAAGAAAAAAACCCAACCCCAACACCCCAACTGTAAAATAACCCCCCTCCCCACCCCTCAAAAAAAACCAAACCACCCGGAACAAACCCCAGAGGAGAAGCAGGCAACAGGAATTTTCAATAGAATCATCAAGCTTAACACTGGGGAGGCAGCCAGCCTGGGAGGCCCACAGCACCACCAAGACCCAGCACAGCCGCTGGCAGCAGGAGGGCTTGAGCAGATGGATGGCAGCACCAGGGCGGGCTCTGCCACCAACACTGCCACATTTCTCTCCTCCTGCTGCCCCAAACCGTTAGCTCTGTGTTAATACTTCGTTAATACTGTCTCATTTCCTCTCTGCCAGCCCAGCAGCAGAGGGCTGGAGATCTTTACCCAGCCCAACACCAAGGCAAGAGAAGTGACCCTGTGTGGAGGGGACCCCACTGTGTGGACTGGTGCCTCCCACGTACTCCGGCAGAACCGAGCCAGGCACCACAGTCCCATACACCGTATCGCACCCAAGCCCGCATGAAGCACATCGCAAAGTTACACACCCCTTTCCCAAGTCCTGGCAATGCTAGACACACCATCAGAAAGGAGTGGGGCAACAGGGACGAGGGGCGGCGCAGACCCGATAAAAAGTTAGCTTAAAAAGTTAAAAAGTCCGATATGCACAGAAAATAAGCCAGGCTGCGCTAGGACCCACATGGGATGCTCTTGCCTTACCACCCCAGTTCTTGGAAGAGTGAAAGCCTCACCCCTTAAACACCAGCTCTTCTCCCCACAGGGGAGCAGCTTCCTGGGGCAGCTGCTGGCACATCCCAGGATTTCTACGTGCGAAGCAGTGAACCAGACGAATCCGCTCCTGCTGTCAGCCTGGCAGCATCCTCATCCTGCTTGGGAGCCGGGGGTCAGTGCGCCGGCTCCCCGTGCACGCGGAAGCGGTAAATGCAGGTGTATTCGGGGTGGCCCCAGTTGCTCAGCACCCGGAGCTCCACCAGCTGGTATGTGCCCACAGAGTCACCCTTGGGGAGGAGGGGAAAGAAATACCTGAGCCCTTGAGAGCTCTCTAAGGCTCAGAGACCCCAAAGGCCCCATTTCCTTCTTGGGGTCAGGTGTTCCAAGGGCCATTTTACTTACCTCCAAGTAAAATGTTTGGATGGGGTCGCCATCATGGTTGTAGGTGAACTGACCAAGGAGAAGGCCCTCCTCCTCTCCTTCTTCCTTTAAGCCCTATGGAGGGGCAGGGAGGCAGAAAGGGAAAAGCAGGGGTCACCAGAGAGGGAGACCAGAGGTGATGAGCACACCCAGGGCAGAAGAGAGA